GAATTAAAATGCAGCCTTATTAATGAGCAAAACGTTCGGGTGTTAAGCGCACTATTTACGCGTGGCTGGGAGCAGGTGTAGATTTCTTGTGTACCAACTAACATTTGGAAAATACGAACATTTTAATGAATCCGAAAATTTACGCCAGAACCACTTTACACACGATTTACACAAAAATTCGTTCTGCTCGTGTTTCATGAATGAGACCCGTTGTGTGAGAAAAAAAATACTTGCCACATTACTTAGACAACTTGTTATTTCCAAAATTAAATCATTAGCTTTTATATTCCTGTTTATATCCTGTTACGTGATTTTGGTTAATCCATCCATTCATTTTCCAAACCCCTTGTCTTATGTAGGGTCATGGAGTAAAAAAAAAAAAAAAAAAGTATATATATATATATAAAATTGTTTAAAAATGTATATAACAATTTTCCAAGGCCCCGCTAGCACGCTCCAGCATAGTGCTAATGATGTCAGGTTGTGGATTTCATCAGGCAATATAATTCTAGTTATGTGGAATAGCTGGGGGATGGCAATGTTTCTATATAAAGAGACCATCATCATGAGCCATCACCACTGTGCCCTTGAGCAAGGCACTTAACGCAGGTTTCTAAACACAGCTCAAGACATGAGACATTGATGGCTTACAGTATTGTGACAAAACTAAAAGAATTGTGATGGCTGAGATAACATGGCATATACCTCACCGCTGTATGGATTATTATGAAACAGCCAAGTTTTACTCATTGGCATCTAAACAGAGTCTGAGGAACCAATAACTCACTAATACTCACTATACCGCCCTGTGCGAGAGAAAGACTGAGAACTAGAAATCATGAAACAAAGAGATTAGACTCATGCAAGTTGAATACTGCAACATGTGCAGATATCAACAGCATGCACAAGGGTGGAACTATTAATATTACTGTGCTCAGACCAAAACACTTCTCGCTTTGTTTGTGTGAACTTATACAGTATATAAATCGAGAATAACACGTTTCTTATTCAAGCAAACCACACAACAGTGATGGTATAGTTCCCGGCAATAACACACGCACAAACAAGTGTAAGGGGGCTGTTCACACAGAACGTCTTTTCAGCTGGTAAAAAATGTGAGACGCAGGTCCGTGGAACGAAAAAATGTGCAAGGTCTAGAGACACATTTTTAAAAGTTGAACTTCTTGAACTTTTAAATTTTGAACTTCCGCATTTTTTTGAACGCAGTGTCATCATACACGAGACACTGCAAAAGATGCGAGACGTCTAGTGTTTACATTGAAAAAGAATGGAAAAGTAGCTAAACATAACCCTAAAAACAAATAATAAAATACGTTTAAGGTTCGTCTCTAGTAACTAATTAGCTTTTTTAAATATATAAATGTATAATTTTTATAACATTTACATTTTTATAAATAACTAATATTAATATTTCTTAATTTAAATAGTTATTATAATATTTTAAATAAATATTAACAGAGTACATTTATTTCAAATATTATAAAATATTTCAAATATATTAACTGAGTAATTTTTTTACTCTATTTATGAATTAAAGCGAGGTTAAGTTTGTCCACACACATAAAGACACATGGCTTGACCTGACGAAGAGCGAGGTGTGTGACTGTACTGTAATAATGGGGAGCAAAGTCCTATTTTTAGGGTCCTAGAAATGAGGATCTATAATTAGAAAAGCAGAGCTGTGACTGGCGCATGTGGAAATCATTAGTTTAAGTGGACATACACACAGGTTTCCCAGAACCACTGTATGTTGTGTTACTCACTCACGTACAGCAAGCTGACGGAAAGCCAAGTGGAACAGAAACGGGAAGAGAGAGGGAAGATTTCTCTCCGACTGCGTTTGAGTGTGTTGTGCAACTGGCACTTAAAAACGTACGTAAATACGCAAGCTTTCATTTCATTTCCGTAAAGTACAGATTTGTTTGTGTGTTTGTCTGAGTGCTTACATGGAGCTCAGCCTCAACGTCAGTCAAGTTCTGCGATAAGACCACAGAGACACTAGACAATCAATCAAGCTATCACTGGAGCTCAGAACAAGCATCAGTAAATCTGGCTGGTTCTGTGATCGATAGCACTTAGACAACACAGAACTACACAACGCTGCTCTACACTTGAACCGCTAGCAGTGAGGTTACATCAGTCTGTGGTGTCCACACAAATGGTGCTCACAAATTGTGTCCTAAAGGTTATCATTCACACATTCATGCAAACTTGTCGTGTCCAAATGTAACTTTTTTCCTGCCAATGGTGGGTGAATTCAAATGTACAGGTCTTACATTTTTCTTACCAAACATGAAACTGTTTTTAGCATTCTTTACTTATTGTTGCTAGATGGAGCTCTGGAAAGAATGAAAAAAAAATCTATGCATCCAGCATAATGGTAAAGATTTCAGAAAAAAGTGTCAGAATAACAATTTACAATTCTATTAAACCTTGCAATGTTACAGTTCCTAATAAAGTTACCAGCCAACTGGTGAGGAAATATATTTAATTTACTTGCCAAATCCAAATTTTTACTTGCATTTGGTACTTGGCGAGTGTTCATTTTGAACCATGCTCACACACACCTATGGGCTGCTGGGAAGAATCAACAAATGGAGGGTCCAAGTGTGTCTGTGTGGCAGGAGAAAGAAACTGAAGAGCTGTTTAACAACATTTCAATCATGTGAATAATGGGTCTGTGTTGTTCTTATATTTTAACATTTTCAAAAACAATTGGCAACCACTGGGTCTTGTTCACGAAACACAAACAGAACTAATCGTTCATAAATCATTCCATCCAATCTAATATTAAAGCAAGAATAGTTTTGCAAACGATTTATGCTCAAATTAGTTCTGCACGTTTCATAAATCAAGCCTATTGTATAGAATAAAATTATTTTCGATAAAATAATAAGCATAAAATGTGGCTTCTTTGTCCAAATGATCATACAAATAATCAACATAAATTGACAAATTGACTGATTATCAAAATAGTAGTTAGTTGCAGCCATAGTTTTTTTGGTAACACTTTACAATAACATTTAATTCATTAACAATAGTTAGTGCAGTAGGTATCTTGAACTAACCATGTACAACACGTTAACAGCAATTATTTAGGTTAACATTGATTTCTACATTCGCTTCCATTCAAAGTATATATTTTGTTTGCTTTTGAAAAAATTTATATTTTATGCTCACCAAGGCAGCATTTATTTAATCAAAAACACAGTTAAAAGTTCAATTGAAAATGTTTTCTAATTTAATATATTTTAAAATCGAATTTTTTCCTGTGATGCAAAGCTGAATTTTCAGCATCTTCAGTGTCACATGTTTCTTCAGAAATCATTCTAATATGCTGATTTGCTGCTCAAGAAACATTTCTTACTGTCATCAATGTTGAAATAAATAAATCAGAAACCATGATACATTTTTTTTTTTTTTTCAGATTCTTTGATAAATAAATGTTGTTCAATTGAACTTTGTTAAAAAAAAGAAATATCTGTAACAATGTAAAAGTCTTTCCCGTCACATTTGACCAATTTATTGTGTCCTTGCCGAATAAAATCCTTGGCCAAACTTCTGAATGGTAGTGTATACTAATACATTTTTACCCATTCACAACATAGATCATTTAATGTTAGTTAATGCATAAACATAACAAGTGAACAATATTATGCATGCTTATAAACATTAACCTAGAATAATAAAAGATGTAAAAAGCTGTCGTTCATTGTTACTTTGTGGTAATGTATTAAACAATGTTAACACTTGCTGTAAAGTGTAGCCATTTTCACAACTATGCCAACCTTTCTGACAGAGAAGTAACAATGTAAGTCTGTCTGCATGGAAAAAAATGCAGGAGAAGGAAGAAGTGTGTGTATTACTATCGTCAGCAGTTCTGTGTTGAGGCGCAGTATGACACTGTTAAGTAGAGAAACAGAGAGCCACTGTGCCTGTGTGTGTGTGAGAGAGAGACACAGTGCTGACTCAAGCCCTCTAACCTCAAATCACACAAAAGAGGCTTAAAGGAAGAGAAGGGAAGCGAGTGAATATTGGAGAAAGGTACCCTTTGTGTTTAGGCTTTTCTGTGCCTAGTTTAAGCAGGGACCCTGCTGTGCTGGAGCGAAACAGCCATTGGAATATGAAGAGGCTTGATTTAAAGTCACACTGACTGAGCAATGATATCCCAGCACTTAAAAGCCATCAAAACCAGACACCGAGTGAATATAGAGTATTTTTAGCGTGGACATTCAGGACATGACAGTCGTTTGGATGATAAAGGGATGGAAGAGGTGGGGTTCAAGCTGCTTTTCCTGCTGCACATGCCAACGCCCAATACTGTATATCCTGTGCAGGGGGAAAATATGACTTCCTATTCAGCAAATATTCACAGTCTCAGAGGACAGACAAGAGCGTCTGTCCAAAATAAACGTATGTAAGGAGCGATGAAGACCCCGAGGAAGATCACAACAATGATTAACGTACACAAGCTCCACCGACGTCCTGTCTGGACGATAATGGCCATTTCTGATTAGTTTAGCAGAACATTGGGGAGAAAGAACTCATATATACACATCTGTGCACACTGCGGCTGAAACATACTTGTGTGTTGCTGGTTTTCCCTACAGGCAGATATGGAATTATTAGAGGATCAGAGACTCGCTATCATAGCTGTCAGAGATCAATGACACGTCTGACATTCCCTCTAGTCCTGCACGGCAAACACACACGTCTCCATCCATTCATCAGCACCAACTACACTGAAGGAGATCACATCTAATTACTGTAATATAACAACATCAATAACAAAGAATTAATTATAGTCGAGCGCTAATGAGTTATTCACTTCTGCGTCAGTGAAACACAAAACAGAACCATTAAAAACCACTTTGTTTCATTAATTAACTGACACAATGGTTGTAAACTGTAATTTCACATGTACCGAGAAAGATCAGAACAACAGAACGCAGGACTAAAGGGTTTCACCGGGGTGGTACCTGGATCCAGAGGAGAGCGCATCGGACAGCTGTGGCTCAGATGACACTGACTGCTCTTCCTCCTTCAGAAAACTCTTGGCCTCCCGGGAGTCTGCGTCCACCTCTTTGGTGACCCTGCGGACCACAACACGAGATATGAATGATAGTATGATAAAAATCAACTCATAGTGTGTTTTAAAAATCTTCAAAAACAACTGACAAGATACTATAAACTACTGTTCAAAGGTTTGGGGTTTGTGAGATTTTTCTAAGCATATATATATATATATATATATATATATATATATATCAGTATTTGGAAATAAAAGTAAATAAAAGCATTTTTTTTTAAGTATTTTCTGGTTGTCAAACATAAGTGGATCATTAAAGTGATGACCTACACCTGGATTCATTTGTTTTCAGATGCCACTTTTGGTTTGATATTTTGTGATTTATGAAGTAAAATTTTATTAAAAAAGTATCAAAAGTGTCCAAATATTTTTGGGGCCACTGCAGTCTTTTTATAGAACAAGTCTTAATATAAATCACATCTTGCGTTCATCAAATGAGTTCAAAGCTTGTCAGTGCTTTGTGCTTGGCAGGATGTGAATATTTTACTGGCTCCGCTTTGAGTGTGTGACTGGCTCATAAACACAATGTACTGGAATTCATTATTAAAAAGCAGCAAGCTAGACAAGCTAAGATGTGATGACAGCATTGTGATTAACTATAACAACATTCAATGAAAATACCTAAATATTTCTGTATGTTTTGACTTTTGACATTATTAACATATGAAATTACCTATTTGGACAAATCACCGTTTTGAAATGAACATATTTCTGATTGAAGCACTGTTTCCAAAAAGCCATCACTGCTAGATGCTCAGCTCTGCATCTGATTAATGAATGTATGCTGTCATCTGGTGGCCACATAAAACACTCACACTTACCGAACTTCTTCTCCTGCGAAATCAAACACCTTGGTAATTGTGATTTTGGAGGATTCTTTAGGTTTGTCCTCCTGCTGAGACGCTGCAGAGGGTTTACTGGGTGTATCTGGGCCAGCTGTAGATGTGGACTATAAGAGATTATGCATATTAATCTTAGAGACAATTTAATAAAACGAAAGCACAAAATAAAAAATTGAATTAAATTTTTTTTAACGCATTCTGACTGTAGAATCAAGACTACTAAGACACTGACTGAACCACATGCAAAACACAGTAAGCTCAATGTTTCACCCAAATTAATAAAATATAAATAAATAAAAGGCAAGACAAATGTTAGTACAAGAAAATTAAATAATCATGAAATCATAAAATATGTGAGTAATTGTTAGAATATTGAACAAACTACTTTGTAAAAAAAATAAAAAAATGTGCAAAGCTGAAAGATTGAAGCTGAATTTATCTCAAGTCTTAAAGTCGACATGTAATGAAGTTGAAATAGTCTTTTCTTCCCTATTCTGATGTGTATCCAAGAAGTGAAATGGCTTCTCAAACAAGAAAAAATCTTTTTGAATGGGCGGGACTTGAATTTGTCCATCGGGAATTGATTGGATGGGTGGACGGTTGTGTTTTGCTATTAGTTGATCTCATGTGAGTGACAGGTTGTCCTGCCCTAATGCCACACATCATCAGAGAAAAGAAAAGATGTTGTAGCAAGAGAGAGGGGGTTATTTTGATTAAAGATTACAAGGGCACATAAATGGAAAAAATAAATGTGCAGAGATGAATCATTTATTTAAAAAAATACAACAAAAAAGAAATGTCAATTTTGATTTCATGGTAACTTACAGGTTTTCCCAACACGTCCGCATCAAATTAAACAGAAGTCTGAAATCTTTAACAAATGTTGTTTTGGGTTTTTTTCACTTAAAGGGATAGTTCACCCAAAAAATGAAAATTCTGTCATATACTCACCCTCAAGTTGTTCCAAACCTGTATGAATTTCTTTCCTCTGCTGAACACAAAAGACGATATTTTGAAGAATATGGGTAACCAAACAGTTGATGGGCATTGACTTGCATAGTATTTAAGTCAATGGGGCCCATCAACTGTTTGGTTAACGACAGAAATGATGACAGAATTTCAATTTAATTAATTTTTGGATGAACTATCCCTTTAAGTTTCTCAAGTTACCTGCTGAGTGTCTGCACTCGGAGCTGATGCTTTGGGTCGAGGGCCGACATCACTCAGAAAACTAGCCCAAAGATCATCTGCTTTCTTCTTCTGCTTAACGTCATTGTCCCCTCTAGACTTGGTTACAAAATGATCTTCTTTTGGCTCATCTTCCTCTTTCTGCTGGCCTGACGAACCTCCCTCACCATCTTCTGCCAGTTTGAGGCCTCCTTTTTTCCTTTTTCTTTGTAAATAAGGGGAAAGTGAGACAATTTTACTTAAGATCATTTTACTTAAGAATTTAGTTGAGTTTAAAATATACGTCACTAATATCATACCTCATAGGAATGTCTGCTTTAGTTTTCTTCTTTTTCATCTTCACATGTCCTGACTGCTGATCGTTGGGATCCTCCCCTTCCAGTGCGTCCTCCTTCACACATTCATTCATGTCATCCTCGCTCAGATTATCATCTGATCAATAAAAGGAAAAAAATAAACCAATGTGAATTAATCATATTTATGACCCTGAGACTAAATAAACATACCAACTAGCGATGCATTATTGCCTAAATTTCCTATGCATTGCTGGACTGGTGCAATGCTGTTCGAAAAGAAAAAGAAATAAATACTATTAAAAAGGGCTGCTGTCATTTTCAATAACCTAAAAGTGTGTTTTAACATTCTTTGGAGCAGGAAAATCTGAAGTGGCAGGTTTTCTGATTCCACTGACCTAAATTCCTCTATGAGTGGGAATATTTCTCACTTAAAGACAGAATGTCATCTCTTCTGGTCCAATACTCCTCTCAGTACCAGCTTGAGTTTTAATATATAGATGCCACCTCCTCCTTTCCCATCATTTATTAAATTAATAAAAGTCATTTTATTTAGCCATTAAGTTTCTGCTGTACTCAATTGAAACTAGATTGTCCAGACCACCTCCCACCCCTACATAAACACACATAAAATGCAATACAAATAATAATTATTCCCAAATGGCATTTTCTTTACATGCCTGGATATAGATTGAGCACTTATACGTGTTAATGCTGAAAATGAATCTGAAGAGCCTCCAGTGCTTCATGATGCAAACCAATTTATAGCACTTCTAAGACAGGACCATAAAAGACCAGCAGGGTTTTTGGTGAATTATATCAGTAATTGTTTTCATCCTTGTCATCACTGTCACAGCCAAATGGACATCTATCAGAAAGGAGTAACTATTAATCATTGCTTGGATCTGATCACATAAAACACCTGCGATCTTCAAAGAGGGATCTTAATAAATATATATATTTATTAAGATCCCTTTTACACTCTAAAATAGATAATATGAATCCAAATCCAAAGTATGAGCATTAGCTAGGATACTTTTTGTGCAATTGAGTTTGCATATGATGTCACTATCATAATGTAAAAGAAAAAGTGAAGCAGTATATGTGTAGATATATCTAGCACAGACGGCTTAGCTATATCTGTGCTCTTGCTACAACCATGCTAACTTCATGCTAAAATCTCTTACCAGAAGGGACATAGTCTTCATCCTCACTTGAGGAATAACCATCCGAGTCGTAATCCGAATAATTCATTCTTCTTTTTCTGTGTGGTCTGCTGTATCGCCGGCAAAATCAGATGAATACTCGAGAACAATCACAAGAAAGACTGTGGCTAACCAGTTAGCTTTACTAGACGCCGAGCATGTTAGCTTGCTAGCATCATCTGATCTATAAAAGACTCAATGCCTCATCAGCCTTCAGAGTCCAGAATAGTCGTTTCTTTTCAACTTCAAGTTCTTTGTTAGGTTGTACCAACCTTGTGCTAAAAATTAAATGACAGAAAATGTGTGTGTTTTTTTAAAAAAATATGTATTAACAAAATTAATAATAAATTATAACAATAACTTGATTTTTATTATTACGGGTAATTAAAGGTAAAATAGTATTATTAAGGTTATTATTAAACGTAATGCAGTAAATAAATTACTAAAATTCTGCTCTCCTGGCTCTTCAACAACAATAATAATAAACGGGGTTATTATTAAAGGTAATCAAAGGAAAATTATTAAATTATTAAAAGTAATAATAACAAAATATAGTATATAAATTACAATAGGCTAAATTATTTTTTTCATATTCTGCATGCCTGGCTATTTCAACACTCCACAATTTAAGAATAGAATAGAATAGAATAGAATAGAATAGAATAGAATAGAATAGAATAGAATAGAATAGAATAGAATAGAATAGAATAGAATTAGCCAAAGACAGTCACATTCTATCCATATGATATGTGAGTCATGCTTTATGGATACCGCGAAGGGACATGCGCTACAACCATACAGGCCCCGCCCACAAGCCTGTCGCAAATCGCAGGTGACAGCTAGATAATCTCTCAAACCTGACACAGTTGTGGTCGTTAAAACTAATTTTCCCGGTTTTTCAAATGTGTTACAGAGCATCGGTAGTGCTTTTAGTTTAATGAGAGTAAATCCGCGCACTCGTCGGGTTTGCGCAGTTGAAGTGGATGTTGATGCAGATGGAAGAGCATCTGTGCTAAAAACAAACGCTCTGCTCAAGCCCACATTCCTTTTCTAATGCTGTTATTCGGATTTGACACTTTTCTCACGCATGATCGCAGTGTTGATCTTAAGAGAAATTCAGGACGTGGAGATGGGATTCGTTCAGCAGATCCTCAGTTTGAATTTGGTACCGAGGACAAATGCAACCAACTGCGGGAGGAACGACACCTCTCTGTGCGATTTCTCCGGTGAGTCTCCACGCCACAGCCGACATTACTCATCAGTTCGATCAGCTCATGTTTGTGCTATTATGACATTCAGATACTGTTATTGTGTTTAATGATTTGTATGACTTTACAGTGAAAAAGTGGTTAAGCTTTCAAACTGGTAATGGGTTAGCAACTAATGCTAGTGTGTTAGCTTGTCCAGCTAATGATACTTGTGTTTGCTGAAATGATGGTGTTACTGAAAGACGGACATCGATATATCTGTGTGTCTGTCTATCTATCTATCGTTATGTCTGTTTGTCTATTAATCGTTCTATCTGTTGTTCTTTTTATCTATCCTGTGCTAAGTTACCTATCTATCTGTTGTTCTAACGCTACCTACCTACCTGTCTTTCTATCTATCTGTTGATCTCTGTTGTTCTGTCTGTCTGTCTGTCTGTCTGTCTATCTGTCTATCTATCTATCTATCTATCTATCTATCTATCTATCTATCTATCTATCTATCTATCTATCTATCTATCTATCTATCTATCGTTATGTCTGTCTCTATCTGTCTGTCTATCAATCATTATATCCGTTGTTCTTTCTATCCATCTGTTGTTCTATCTACCTATGTCTATCAATCGTTCTATCGGTTGTTCTATCTAACTTACCTATCCGTATTTCTATTTATCTATCGATCGTTATGTCTGTCTATCAATTGTTCTAACTGTTTATCTATCTTTCTATCTATCTATCATTTGTTCTACCTATCTATCTATCTATCTATCTATCTATCTATCTATCTATCTATCTATCTATCAATCGTTCTATCTGTTGTTCTTTCTATCTATCTGTCTGTCTGTCTGTCTGTCTAACAGTCTTTTCTAGCCATCTGTCTTTCTATCTATCTGTCTTATCGTTCTGTCTATCTATCTGTTGTTCTATGTCTCTATCTATCTATCTATCTGTCTGTCTGTCTGTCTAACAGTCTTTTCTAGCCATCTGTCTTTCTATCTATCTGTCTTATCGTTCTATCTATCTATTTATCTATCCATCTATCTGTCTGTCTGTCTGTCTAACAGTCTTTTCTAGCCATCTGTCTTTCTATCTATCTGTCTTATCGTTCTGTCTATCTATTTATCTATCCATCTATCTGTCTGTCTGTCTGTCTGTCTAACAGTCTTTTCTAGCCATCTGTCTTTCTATCTATCTGTCTTATCGTTCTGTCTATCTATTTATCTATCCATCTATCTGTCTGTCTGTCTGTCTGTCTAACAGTCTTTTCTAGCCATCTGTCTTTCTATCTATCTGTCTTATCGTTCTGTCTATCTATCTGTTGTTCTATCTATCTGTCTGTCTGTCTGTCCAACAGTCTTTTCTAGCCATCTGTCTTTCTATCTATCTGTCTTATCGTTCTGTCTATCTATTTATCTATCCATCTATCTGTCTGTCTGTCTGTCTGTCTAACAGTCTTTTCTAGCCATCTGTCTTTCTATCTATCTGTCTTATCGTTCTGTCTATCTATCTGTTGTTCTATCTATCTGTCTGTCTGTCTGTCCAACAGTCTTTTCTAGCCATCTGTCTTTCTATCTATCTGTCTTATCGTTCTGTCTATCTATCTGTTGTTCTATCTATCTGTCTGTCTGTCTGTCCAACAGTCTTTTCTAGCCATCTGTCTACCATTTCATTCATCCATTTGTCTACCTGTCTGTGTGTCTATCTTGTTCAAGTTGTGTGACAGAAATTTGGAGTTGAATAATATTTCATTTACAGGATTACAGTACAGGCTTGTAATATAACAAATGACGCTTCACCACTAACTATCAGTCTTAAATTCCACGATGCCAGTCATTTATATCTTTTCTTAGATTCCGTGGGAGATGTTTACATCACAGGCGTGGGAAGATTTGATAGACTCTGTTGGCTGATCTTCAGGCTTTGAATGTGTTTCTTCATGCCACTGATGTCTTTCTCTCTCTTTTTTTTTTTTGCAGAGATGTGGTATGGGGTGTTCCTGTGGGCTGTTGTGTCCTCATTGATGTTCCACCTCCCTGCCGCCCTCCTTGCTCTGGCAACACTCCGCAGACATAAGATGGCACGATTTTTCCCAATCGGCATCCTGCTCATGGCTATCATCGGCCCGCTCTTTGGAGGGGTTCTCACTAGTATGTAGCTTGTTTTTTGTCTAGTTACATCTGAAATATGTCATAAATAATGAATATGAAATGCGTATCATACAAAATGTCTTCTTACAGGTGCAGCTATAGCAGGAGTCTATAAGGCGGCTGGGAAGAGCATGTTCTCCTTGGAGGCGTTGGTGTTTGGAGTGGGACAGTCGTTGTGTGTTTTTATCATTTCCTTCTTCAGAGTGCTGGCGACCCTGTAGCACTCAGACATTGGCACACCAGGCTGCCGTCACGAGGAGAGTCACCTGGGCGTCATATGCAAAACATGGAGGCCTTACTTCCCAAACAGTTTCCTTTGATACAGAACAGTGGTATCTTTTTTTCCAAACGGGTTTCTGATGAGTGCATGGAGTAACATGAAGCATTTCATTTCAAAATGAAACCTTACGAGCCACCTTTAAAGCAGCGCTAAACTTGTTACAGGCGGAGTCATCTTGCACGTGTATTTTATTGATCATTATGGATGACATTTTGTTTGTTAGTTTCTTTTCATTTTCCTTTCTTAACACTAAATTAGTCTTTTATAAAATTTTGGATGAGGTAAAGACACACATAATGTACATACTAAAGCCCATTCCAGCTTGCTCTTAAATTACGCTCGAGAGGAACAACTTGCATTCACTTTGCACTGATTATATGAATCCTTTAGGCCAAAGGCTAGAAACTTCAATTTGTTTCTCTTCTTCACACTGTTTTCTATATATTTTGCCCCTGAGCGTGGGCATATTTGGAGAGATTACAGTTGAACACACTTGTCTGTGGACTTTGACATTTTAATCGTTTCACAGCACAAGATTTTGCTGGTTTTTACATTTGTTTTCCAAGTGGGCTCCAGGATTTGGCCTTCGCATTGAATATTTCTGTATATATTAGTGTGATATAATCTTGCTTTGACACTTGTTTGCCCATAAGATTCTCACCTCTTATGCCTAATATGCGAATGTAAACCAGATTTCAGCTGAAACCATTTATAGAATCACTTAAATCTTCACCAAAGAAATGATAACACTAATCTACAGCTGTTATACGTTTCAGATATTGTTATTTTTGCTCATAATTAGCTCAAGTGGGAAGATGTTTAATGACTAAATCGAACAAAAATTACTACCGAATGTACAAAATTATAAATTGTTTCAGAAACCCAAGTTTATGTGCAGAAGTATATACAATAATATGCTTACATTGCAAAAAAAGTATAGTCACTCGTATAGATGTTCTCCCTTATTCTTGTTACATTAACAGCAAGAGGTGTAAAGCTGAAAGGGATACGAATTTGATCTTAACACAGAGTTTTTAGACTAATCTGAGGAATTTTCAGCCTGACATCTAAACCAAATTTAGTTCTCAAGTATTATTTTGACATTTCTTCAGTATAAGCATTTGTAGACTTGTGTTCTCCCATATTACAAGCCCTCAGGAAGTTCTGGAAGTTTCATTCAAAGCTCGTGTGGTGAGTTCATCTTTTACGATTGGAGCGCTAACATTCGCGGGACGCACTGAAAGCTATGCTTTATTTGTCTGAGCCTATGGTCTCTCAATTGCACAAAATGGATTTATTTTTCTAAAGTCAAATCATTCATGGTGGAGTGACTGCTCATTGTTTTTGTGGTTTGTCTTTGATTGTATGGTCTTCTTGAGAAATGGATTTGCTCATTTGCGACGTGATACTTTCCATAAATTTTTTTCTGGGCAAGTTTAATTTTCTTACTGTATAAAAAGTGCCAATTGCTAGTATTTTCATGAAATAAAATGGTTTAGATTATAATAACACCACCTTGTTTTGATATATTAACTTATTATCCTTCGGTTTGGGGTGTAATGTGTTGGACAGGGAGTTAAACGATATGAAAATATATGCTGAAAGAGGAGTAAAAACAATTTGGTTTCATTCCAAGCGGAGGGCGGTTTACTCACGCCACTCTCATCTATGGTTTAGTGATGCTTCTGTGTTCTCCAGCACTACCACACTCACAGATGGCTCTCCTGTGTTCCATTAACATTCACCAGCCAAATCTGCACAACCGCCAATTGCTGTACTGAAGAGAGTAATGTGCTGCAGAAACACACGCAGAGCGATGACTCAAATCATGTGGGCTTTTCTGCTGAAAGAGGCCTGGCTATGTATTGGAATTAAAGGACATTGTAATATGAAGTGAAAACACTATTTTTAAAACATAAAATAACGTTTTTTTATGCCAACAGGTTTGGAAAACACTGATTTTAGCGTTATCACTTTGCATAATCACCTTAAAAAAAAATCTACAATGTACACAGATGAGCCAAAACATTATGACCACTTGCCTAATGTTGTCAAATTTACAACCTCGTGAATGGCTGGACCCAGGGTTTCCCAGCAGAACATTGCCATCACTTCCCTAGGTCAATGGCACATTTATGCATAGCCATCCACATGATGATGTAAAAGAAAACCTGACTCATTGCTCCACTGCTCCAAGGTTCAGTTCTGACAACGTGTGCCCATTGTTAGCGCTTTCGACTGGAGATTATTATGAGAACTAATTGTTTGCTTACCATCTATTCTACCCAGACCTTAATATGTGGCCTTGTTAGGAGATTATCTATGATATTCGCTTCACCTGTAAGACTGATCATAATGTTTTGTATATTTGGTTGTATTATACAACCAAAATAAGGGGTCATCTTATGGTCTCAAAAATGACTATTGCATGATTGAATTTCCCTTTCATTCTTTTTTCATTGTAGACCTTCTAAATGTTTCAATGTGGTTTACATTGCAATATCAGGTTTAGAGCCATTTCTACAATAAAGTCTTGAATATACTTGCATATGTGATGTAATACACGTTAAATAAATGTTTTCTAAACATATGCAGGGAGCTAAAAAGCTCTGTGCCAATAATTCATATAGATAGAGTTGCTGCTGAGGTGACTGCAAAATATATCATACCAGATTTACTCTCTTTTTGTAATGTAGGTACGTTTAATCAAATCACACGGGCAAACGTTTCATTGCCAAACTTCCTTTGATTCGCACCAAATGGAAGCTGTGTTGAGGAAGGAAAGAGGGATAAATCCATGAAAAAAGTTAGTCAGGACTCGTAATGACACAACAGAATTCACTTTTTAATCATTATTAACAAGTAGATGTATTGATTTTACTCTTCTTCTTTTTTTTAAACGCATTTGTTCATAATTCATTCTTTTGTACATAATCTGGCGTGCAAGGCAAAGGTACACATAGAAAATAGATTTGCGCAGGGTCAGTCCATGTGTGTCTCAGGTGAGGGGGATTCAGTTCTTTGGTCTGATGTTTCTCCCTGCGTTGTGTGCTCCTCTGAGACTGTCTCGCTCCTCTCCTGGTTGGTCACTTGCTCGCTGGGCCCGGATGGGCTCTGCTCTGATTTGCTGTTTGTGACTGTTGTGCTGTCCGTCTGGTCAGTGCTGTCCTCCTTCTCCCTAGATTTCACTGTGAATGCACATGATGAACACGTTAGTGAGATGTCTAATGGAAGTTCTGCAAAAACTGTATATATAATGGTGTCGGAGTGGAGTTAATCTCTTCCTCCGCTCACCTTCCTCACCCTCAGGTAAATCCTCTGAGCAGGGCGTCAGTTCCCCCAGGTTCACTCGCTTTCCCCCCGGTGACCTCTGCCGTCTTGGCAGCGCTGCCTTTAGCTCTGAAAGAGGCCGTAATAACAACGCATTATTTTTTGTTTTTAATTGTTTTGTTTTTCATTTTGAAAGCAAGAATCGACTTTGTCACTTTCCAATGATGGCGTGTTTTGTGCTTTAAAGACCACATGAAATCAACATTTTGTGGCTGTTAGTCTACATGCTTTAGCTCCATCCAAAAGTTTGGAGTCAGTAAAATTTTTTTTTAAAGAAATTAATACTTGTTCAGCAAGAAGGCATTAAATTGATCGACGTCATGTTACAAATAATTATTTTCCAAATAAATGCTTTTTTTTTTTTTTTACTTTCTATTCATTAAAGAATCATGGTAAAAATGTAATAGTTTAAACAAACATTAAAGGAATAGTTCACTTCAAAATGAAAATTCTGTCATCATTTACTCACCCTCAAGTTGTTTCAAACCTGTATGAATTTCTTTCTTCTGCTGAACAAAAAAGAAGATATTTTGAAGAATGTCGGTAACCAAACAGTTTTTTTCCTACTATGGAAGTCAATGGGGTACATCAACTGTCTGGTTACCGACATTCTTCAAAATATCTTCCTTTGTGTTCAGCAGAAGAAAGAAATTCATACAGGTTTGAAACAACTTGAGGGTGAGTAAATGATGACAGAATTTTTATTTTAAAGTGAACTATTCCTTTAAGCAGCACAACTGAAACTAAATGTTTCTTGAGCACCAAATCAGCATTTTAGAATGATTTTTGACACTGAAGAGCAATGGCTGCTGATAATCCAGCTTTGCTATCAAAGGAATAAATCACATTTTATACAAATTAAATAAAATGACAGTTTTTACTATCGTTTTAATCAAATAAATGCAACCTTGGTGAGAATAAGAGACTTCTTTCAAAAGCATTAACAAATCTTACACACACCAAACTTTTGAACGGTAGTGTTAGCATATATGCTAGTTGACTCCAAAAAGTTGTTCGACACATTACTCCTAATAATACCTGCAACTGACTAGCAATATATCTTCTTCAATGTGTAATCAATGTCACATTGACAGTTAAAGCAGCATTACATGATTACTCTTCAAACATCTCCCTCATATTACTTGTGTGGAATCATTCAGAGCGCTGCTCAGAAACACAAGGTGACATATTGTGAGTGACAGTTGTGAGACATCAGAGGCTCACCCTCAGGGTCAAGCATGGTGGCGTGTTGGAGGAGTGAATCCTCATGGACAGACACGGCACGGCGCTGGGGAGAGGGCTTCATGCGGGGCCGTGGAATAGGGAGGGTCTCTATGAGAGGAAATACGGTCAGACTGTGTCCGTTCTTATAAAAGACATGAACACAATACAGCACAATGTCTTTTAGGGCTGTTTTATGCCTTTTATTATACAGGACAGGGAGGATTGACGGTGGGAATGGGAGAAATTGGGGAACATTACAGTCAGGATTCAAACCTGTGACCCTTTATGTCATGAGCGTAGGAGCTGTCACCGCGCCACAGCTATGAACATCAAAAGGTCGTTTACAACAGATTCACAAATGAGAAAAAATATCTGCATCAGGATGTATGGAGGAAGGGTGGAACTTGAATGAAAATAAAGAATAAAATGACAGGCTA